GGAGGTAAAAGGGAGACATTGTGACGTATTGGGCTGGATACTTAAATGTCAATGTGGGAAGAACGAATTTGAGAATTTTGTTCTGGGAGGGCGGTTCTGAACATGGCAACCGCGGGAAAACTTGTAGATTTCAAATGGTCCGCAGGGAGAGTGGAGTGGAAAATGTCTTTTCCCCAATTTATGGTTCTGATATCTTCAATGAGCTTGTCAGTTTCCCTGTCTGACACAGAGTGACAGTTACCGATTTGTTGCCAGAGAAAACATAACACACGGGTGCCTTCTCGTGCACAGCTGTCCGGCTTGCTGCAGAACGCAAGAGCATACGTGTTAGCAGCAGGCTGAGGCCATTCAGCCAATCACACCCATTCCATCAGAAATGAGACTGTGTCATCTTTCTTCACCGTATTGAAAAGATTCAGTGACTGAGTGTGCTGCGCTGAGTCACATTATGTACACCAAAGATTCAACATATTCTGACTACAAATGTCTTTGTCCACAATTTGTAGAGAATGTTCCCGTGTCCCTGGCCCAGTGCTTTGGATAATCATTTCAATGTTGATCCAATGGAATGTATCTATGTTAGAATGAACAAACAGGACTTTTCTGAAAGATGACGTGTGGCAGTCTAGTCCTCCCTCGGCTAACCTACCGTGCAGCCTGGATTTGTTGAAGCACACAGTGGAGCTTCAATTTCAGTCTGGGGAATTGCAACAGACGCACAATTCCCTTTCCACTTGCAACAAACAGAAATTTACATCAAACCGTAGAGTTGACTTAGATGTGATTCTGATGGGCAAACAGGATGAATGAATAAAGAAAATGTGTTCAGAATAAACCTGACACAATTAACATTATCTTAAACAGAATCAAATCCAACAAGTGAGATCTCCACAAGCGAATCGACATCAGTCAACACAGCAGGGACATCCATAAGCTCAAAATCTACCCTGACATCCACTCAGCCATCAACATCAGAAGGTAAATTGCAGACAAAATGACTTAATATATCCACATATCCAAGCAATATTATTCTCTGAGATCCTGGTAAATAATCATGAAAGGTGTTTACCTGCAATTTATCTGGCCACAAATTAAAAGGATTCTGTAACTAATTTATTTGAAACAATTAAATTTCAAGGAGTTGGGGTCTCTGAAGCATAGCCAATGTTTAATAGAGC